GGCCCTCTTGAATCTGTCATGAAAGCAGAGGTATGTGGGTGAGGAGGAGGAGGAGAGAGTGCAGTTGTGCAGCCTACGTCAACTATCACGTTATACCAACGCACGCGGAGGTCACCGTCCCTGCGCCAATTCTTCTGTGCACCACACAGCGGACACCGACGCCACGATAGTCGAAATGTCGTGTGTGCGTGAATGAGTATGTTTATGCTGATTGTAGCACACTGATTACACTCTTTCTCCACTTACACGCTACAAACAATTGATGTAATCATCGGGCGAAGCAGGCCTGCGTCCTCGTTCCCACCCTCTTCATACTCGCGTTCTATGCCACGCATAATGGACGCCAACCTGATCGGCGCCCTCATAATCGCATCGTCTACAGCACTGATAGCCATCTTTTCAATAGACCGTGCATGCAGGTCTCGACGCATCATTCCACGACTAATGCCCACAACCTTCTCTTCGGGGACGACTTCGCGCTCAACACCGCGACAGAAGCAGATATGCAACGAAGCATGGACTTCGTCGCCGCCGGCTGCGCCAACTTCTAGCTGGTCATCGACACGGGCATAACGGTGGTCATGTATCCATCATCACCCAACACTGCATAAAACGGACCTCGTATCATCGACAACGGCACCCAAATGAAGGTCGTGCATAATTTCGTCTATTTGTGTAGCACACTTTCACATGACATTAAAGTAGACTATGTGGTTCAACGGGTATCCAAAGCCAGCCAATCAGGTCTTTTTCCGGCTGCAGATCTGCGCCTGGAGACACCACGGATTTCAACTCAAAAATCTACATGAGACATGGGTATTCACCGCCAATTCAGCCAGAAAACTCAGTATAATCCATTTCAGCTACCGTCGCTAAATCCAAATGCTGAGGTGACAGGACGGGATTCCCGACACGGAAATCATGGAACTGATGGGAATACTCAGTATCCACACCATGCAGAGGCAACTGCAATTACAATGGAGTGGTCGCCCCGTGGGGATGGATGACGCGCGATTACGCAAACGACCCTTCCATAGAAATGCCGCTATGGGTGCTTTGCGACATGGAGGACAAGCACGCCACAACAAGGACAATATTAGGAACTCTCAGAAGCGCTTAAAATTCGACAGCGAGTCCTAGAAATACCTCGCGTAGGACCAAGCAGACTGTAGAATTGCAGTAAAAAGCTGGAACAGCAGTCTGTGAAGCCAACCAGATCGCTACTGACAAAACCAAAAAATTATCCGGCAAGTCGCAAGAACCCGTGACCCGCACCCATCCCCCCTCCCCCCTCCCAATATGTTCACTCTGCCCACGAACAGTCTGCGCTCGGATCGACCTCATTGGACGTCTTAGGATCCAGTACAATATTAGCCCAACAACCCATCTGCTGCCTTCACAAACGCCCTCACCGTCATCCCTGCACCCACTCCCACGCCATCCATATCGACAACCACCCTACCACCGTTGAACACCCTCACAGTGTCCCACGGCAGGCGGCCACCGATTTAGTAGTTCCTAAATTATCATGGCCACATTGCCACCACACAGGCACATCACACATCGGCCTGGTCGGTCAGTCGCAAATCCATCGTACAGCGACTGGCGAAGCAGTGCTTGGAGCACGTACGCACGCCCGCAATCATCACCTCAACTGCCCACGCATATTCTGTAATCGCATGGGTCTACTAGATTACATGCGTCTGTGCGAAAATCTGCGGCAAATCGCCACAGACTAGACTACACTACCACACAAACTCCCACCAAAACGTGCACCACACATGGACACGTCCAGTACCACACACCGGAGGCATTACGTAGGCGCCTTCCAAGCAAGTGGGAAGTCCGTTATTTGACTTCTTCTCCATGTCGCACCTTTGCTACATGTGAGATCTGAGCCGCCGACCCCCTTTTGTGTAAAAGACTGGTATGGACGTGTGGGGAATCAGATTGCGTGTGACATGCGCAGAAGGGCTGTTTCTAACTCGGTCAGCCACCTCTTACAACCTAAGCGTCAGTTGGTTCACCGGTTCGGACAGAAGACCTTTTCACGAGGGAGGGAAGAGTGAGAGTGAGAGGGAGATAGATCGACTCTCAACGCATTCTCCACAATATAAATAATTTGACGCGCTCAATGCCTCAACGACAAGCTAAAGGTCAGTGCTGGGATCGCTATCAATTGGCAAGATAATTGGGATCTTGTAGTCGGCTTAGTGTGTTTTTGTGTGGTGTGGTTGCCAGGTAGACTAGCAGTCAGACTTAAATCGTCTATTCCTAATGCGACCTTTGTAGTAATACCACTTATGTACAGTCGAGATTATAAGTGCGATTATATACAACCAGCACAAAATATAGTCATTTGTAATATGCGTGAAGATCCGAGGTCCAGATATACTACCGTGTCTATCATCCCCCGAGGAAGACGAAGAAGAGAAAGCGATTTCATGGACCAGATTGTAGTCAAGCTGGTGTTTCGGAAACTCTTTCGTTTCCATCATCAGAGTCACTAGCTGGCGTTTCCTGTTGGCCTTGATTTGTTCAGCGTTGCCCGCCTGCCTCGTATTATAACCGTAAAAAGCAGATTGATTAGGGGCTGTGAACTAGATTCCGATCAGTGATTCATCCTCCAATTGAAGTACCTTGTGAGCGAAAGCAACGACAGTTATCGACAGAATGGGTTTTGCATGTAACCCAATTTCATGTCCGGGTGCATATCCACTGGTCCAATGTATCGATTGCGCTGCATGGTTGCACGCGCTTAGTTAACGAGACTTGAGAAGTACCGGCACAACAAGCAATTACTGAAATAAAACTTAGAAGAATGGTCACTCTGGGCGTCGCTCATGTGCGACCGAATAAACGGAATCGTCAAGAGCGCTTTTAACAACGCAATGAAGTTTAATTGATCCCTGACTGCTTCCAGGGAAATGTTTAACCTCATCTATCTTCAAAAATACTCAGGGGAAGGAGACGTCATTGTCCTTATGCATTGAGACTGCGCGGTAAAAGTACATGCATAATGGCGGAGGAGCAAATCGGAGGAATACGAGAGACACAAAAATAAACTTCTCCCGTTCGCTTGGCCTCATCGGCCACTGCTTTCGCGGTTTAACTTCGGACCCAATTGACCAATAAAATATAACACGCACCCAATATCAGGCAGTGATAATTTTGCGGTCAGACTAGTTCATCATCTCACCCATGAGATATTCGTGTTAATAGCAATTATCGACTTTTGTTACTCAGGACGTTCCCTGTCGACACTGAAACACACGAACATGTTGCACTCAATCTACAAACGCCTTTGGTGCAATGAGGACGGAAAGAGGGGATGAGAAGAATTATGAACACGCAATCTTGTTAGTGATACCGATTCTAATGCTGGTGGTCAATGTTTACACTGCAAGACTGGTTATTCAGAATAGGAACATGTGGACATTGACAAACTGTATAATATGGGGGGTGGGCTTTGTCGGACGTGTTTCAAGCCGTCGCAGTCGTACCGGTGGTTATTTGATTCAGACAAGTGATGCTTCTCTATTGACTGACTAATCTTAATGTATTTGTTGGCTTTACTAAGTACAAAGCCTTTCTGTTTTCCTACCTGCTTAACGGCAGATTTGGTTTAAAATCCCAGCCAGTTTAAATGTGGTCAGACTACTCGAGAACACCTGGCCTACTTTATGGGATGTTTGCATTCCATTTTGATGTGTGAATTCGCACTCTCCTTGCTAAATATGATGTTTTGTCTCCGGAAATTTGCTGTACCAACGGATTGGCAGAGGCTCTTCGGAAATATTGTTAAACAAGATATTACGATGTTATTCTTGTAGTTATAAGATATACATGTTTTTCAGGCGCATATGACCTACAGATTTTGCCTATCTACACTTGGAGTCCATATTTGTCCGTAAAGTCTACTTCCAGCGTGTTACCGGCGTCAGCCCTCGGTGACACGTCTGTACGACAAAATGTGCAGGTCATATTTCATACTAGACAGTAGTAACTCAATGAGTCTTGGCAGGTGATTTAATTCCTGATCCCTTCTAAGCAACAAATCATCATAGGCCTCCGCACTCCTTCCAAACTGTCCATTCCGTTTACATTTCAGAACGGAGAATGAAAATCAGTTGAACGTTTACTTCGGCTTGAGAAAAAACACTACTTGAATTAAATTAAATGTCTGTAATATAATCCTGAAAACCCGTGCTTACAAAAGCAGTTTATTGCTGTATACGTTTGGTAAGATGTCAGTCTGCTTCTTCCTACCTTAAAATCAAAAATACTCGACAGTATTTTTTATTCTACCAAGTTGGTTTTGCATTTTTGGAGGTCTGTTAATAGCTCCTCACACAGACTAATTATGCCATAGAAAACAGAGCTAGTGTGTCCAGTGATAAGTGCATAGGCGCAACCACTTATATAATTGGAGTATTTTACTTCAATAAGGCTCGACATATGTGTGAAGAAATGGCATCATTCAGGGGGTAGCTCTTCACATATCGGGAAAATATATGTAAAACATTGGCTCCCCTACATCAGGAACCAGGAAAAATGGTCTGAAATAATCCCGTCTACGCCTGACGCGATAAAGCTTTTAGTAGGTTTGACAAGCCGTTAAGCCATCTATCTGAAAATAAACCTTTGTTTACATCGTGTCCCTAGGACATCGCATACTCAGTCATCTAAATCGAAGCGTCTACCAATGTGAATGTTTGGGGAAACGTTTTCCGTTTTATTAAGTGTTCAAAAGCAAGCGAGAGGGTCCTAGCATTTCATTAGCAAAATGTTTGGGAAGATGATACCTTATCACAAATCAGGATCGAATGTTTCTATATTATTGAACCTGTCGTTCCATGCTTATTAATGTTGAAAACTCTCCTCATGTACTATTTCCAGTTGAACGTACTTAAATATCTTCAAGTCAAGTTATTGTTTTTCTCACTGCAAAATGTACATTTTTTGAGACTTCCTCCCTCGATGACTCGTTGACGGCTAAATCACCACCCTAACATGAACTGTCGGTCTTCATCAACGTATCCATCATCGTCATCATCATCATCATTGGCGTCGTTATCGTCGTTTTCGTCGTTGTCACCACCAACACAACCACCAAAGCCACCACTACCAGCGCCGCCGCCACCACCACCACCACCACCAGAGCCACCACCACCACCACCACCACCACCACCACCACCACCACCATCACCACCACCACCACCACCACCTGTGTTTCCATTCTGTCCCTATGATTCGTTGACGGCCATCGCCACATGCAAAATGATGGCTTAATCACCACACATTTATGAATTGCCGGTTTTCGTCAGCCGACTCATCATCATCATCATCATCATCATCATCAGCAGCAGCAGCAGCAGCAGCAGCAGCAGCAGCAGAAGTAGCAACATCATCAAACCTTCGTGTCCAAGTCTGCTTCTTACCGGCTGTGCATTGACCTGCATTTATGCGCTTGTCTGACAGACGCTAGCCTATCCCCTAAGACCCTCGTCCCATAATAGTTTATGTTTAGACTGCCTCCACTTTACGTTGCAAATGGGGGTACTTAACGGTTCACGCCTACTTTCCTCAAGAACATATAGGCTGAACTGAACTGAACGCTTGTCCCGTCGGATTGTTATTTGTTGTAAAGCTCATGGTACTGGCACGACCGCAAACACATGTGAGTTCCTTTCCTGTCTCACCATTTACCACGGTTTTTCTGGTTTCCGAGTCAAATTTCCTGACGACTTACACGTTTCCCAGCTTACGCAGGCATCACTCACTCAAGGAAACGCCCTTTGAATTCACGGAGTGTCAACCAATCAGCGTGGGAAATTTTGAAAAGAAGACAGTCTCTTGTCAGTTGCCAATCCACGTATTTTCTGCCCCTGAATCCTTCTTCGATGAGCGGTCACGTCCATTAAATTCGTTCAGTTCGTTGATGCATCCCTCCTTTTTTGCCTTCAATATTTGTAAGTAAACTCAATGATTTTTAGCCTTCTGCTATCGCCGCCGACGATCTTTCATCATGCATTCCTTTTACGGCCTTGGAAATAGCACATTCGATGTCGACTCCGACTAGCTCCTTCGATTTAAACCTCCGTCCATTTGAATAAGCGTATTTTCTGCATGGTCTTTAATTACGCCTCATGTAATTCGTTGGCCATTGACAATAGCAGTTGGGGTTAGACAATTTATGACAGTCACTGATTAAAAGGAGCAGATGTTACCAACGGAGGTGACATCAGGCATAAAACAAGCCTGCTGTTAAATCCTAATTTCTCAAGTGTACATGTAAAACATCTAATGAAGAATAGGAAAAAGAAGAAACGGATTGTTCAATGAGTAGCAGAAATAGTTCCCAGACGTTTCGTATGAATTACTACGCTTACTTTTGAAGACGGATAATAGCCGGCCAAGACTGTTAGGTTGCTGGTCAGTTTAACTCGAGACTACCAAACATAATATGCCTGCATTAATTTCAGCCTATGCGCGTTCTGGTGAGAACTCGTGCTTCATTTTACTTGAATTGTCGCAAAGTAACTTTTGCAGCAAATTCTCTTGCATCTAGGCGATACCTGTTATCCATGCGGTTCATTAATTAAAGAAGTTGAGCTACGATTTTACGTCCCTAATCGAATGTAAATCTATCTCGCAACTAAGTTTAGATACAGGGAATCGCTCGACCGGGCAGAGAATATGCGTACGTGGTGTTCCTAACACTGGACAAACTTTTCACTGCGGCCTGCCTCTTCCACCAACTAGCAGTCTGGACACTTCGGTAAACATTTCATTATTGTGCTTTCGTTTACCATCTTCTCGCAAGTCTACTCCCCAAACCACATTTATCACGAGATGAGGCGTCAGTATTTTTCAACAGACACTTTTATTTTAAGGTGAGTAGTAATGGACAGTTTACTAGTACCTGCAGTTTATTTGCGTAGAAATCCCCATTAACTGTTGCAGATAGCAAGGTTACACACACCACCACGAGACCTGTGTATAGCAAGTAGACTCAGAGTAGAAATCGAAAAGGGGGTCGATCGGTTCGTCTTCAATAGGCCGTTAGAAATGTTTCTGAGTCGGTGAGTGGATGTGCGAGAAATCCGAGTTTTCAAATTCTAGGGACAGGTCGCCTGCCAGCCCCCATTAGATTAATTGTGGGTTTCATCAAATAGGGCGTTTGGAGGAAATACTTAGGCGCACACAGGATCGCGTTGCGTATGTAGGTTATTATCGCATTCATTGTAGTTGATATGCACTGCTGTACAGACATCTGATGAACCAGTTACATACAACTGATAGCCCTCAATTATCCAAAGAGTTGCTTCTGTGGTCAATGTCTACCAACTGGACAAGAACAAGGATAATAATCATTTTGTAGTATATTTTGCCGGTCCCATTCACCTCATTCAGTCAACGTGGCCCTTCCTTCGAGAACGAATGAAGAGTCAGTTGCGCATCTGTCGGATATTGCGTTAAGAAAATCGGATGTTTTCGTTTGAGGATTCAGTACACGCAGTAATGCTTATCATATACTTGATACTTTGACAGTCATTGCTGACGGCTAGGCTAAGCAGGAACGGTGACTTCTGCGTAAATTATTTTATGGTGATAGTAGATTTGCACAGCATCTACTGATCTCTCTTACCCTCCCCTACCTGGACCTGGTGTCAGGACCGAGTCAAGAAGACCGGAGGCGGGGGGAACGCAGGAGGATGGCACGGTTGGGCCTGCACCTAGGCACTCCACTCCACACCCCTGGTCCACACAGCAAATGACGAGGTTTGGAACCAACGACAACCATGGGGGAGGGCAGGGATTCTAGGCTGCTCGACGTCTGCCGGCAATTTGGTCTGCTACTGCACTCCGAATTGTTAACATTTATTATGGTGCGCAAATCCGATAACGCCTACCACGATTCGATATGCCCCGTCTTGGTCCAGCGCATCTATCACGTGATCCGTTTGTGGGGTCAAATATACTTAATAAACATTCTATGAATGTCTGAGGTAAAATCTCCAACCCGGGAGCTTGTACTGATGAAATTGTAGGTACTGACATCACCAAAATTATCAGTTTGGGAGAAGAAATTATTGTGTGTGTATCCAAAAAGATGTACGTTCCGAATACATTACCATGTAGGAGAAGAGGGGATATTTTCCGGGCAATTAATATCGTCTGCTGATTTCGTACGTGAGAATATCTTTTCAATATTGTCACATCATCATTGAGTACGGTTGCAGATTATACATGCGTAAGTTCCCTTTTTCGGGTGAAAATAAGTTTTGAGGACTTCAAATTGCAAAACGAACGCATTAGACTTCGGTTGGTATATCGAAAATTTGGAGCTTCAAGGCAGGTGACAGCAAGTAGCAATTGCATTTTCTGCCGACCTTGAGTTCCCTTAGTACATTATATGGAGTTTAAGTTGAACACAGACCGGCGACAACACAGACCGGTGACCGGAGACCGGGACATCTACTGTCGCGGCAAGAAACGCCTGGAGTTCTTTGTCACATCTGGTGCAGTTCCCAGGGGAGAAGAAATCATCGGGGAAGATGGAAGAATGTTCCGGACGCCATTGGTCAAACATGCGACGGCGGTGCGGAGAAATCACATTAGCTCCGAAGTCGCAGCTAATTCGACGGAACCCGGCCTTGTATTCGAGTTTGACGAGATCGAAATTCTAGCGATATGTGACCGTCTCGTGAGTCGCGAGCTGCTTAACTCATGCTTCAGTGGCCCCCAGTCTAATGACAAGCGCAATGACCTGCTCCGTCCATAATCAGTGCTGTAATAAAGTGTGGGGACAATTGTTAGCCAAGTAGTTATTACCTAAATGAACGCCGGTTCCTACGCCAGTTTCGGTGGGCCGATTGACCGAGTACTTATCCCACTAAAATCGAACACGGACGATGAGATCGCTTTGATTAACGACTCGAATGCCAACCATCAAGCAGTTGTCTCGGTGAGGTCGCAATATGCTACCCAATTTTACATATTACATTTTACCGCCTATTCTTTTTTACAAAAGTACTGTTTAATTTTGTTAATCTTCAAATCCTACCCATTATACGCTCTCGTTTACATAAACCAACCACAGGTTTCCTTACTTGCACTTCGTTAATCACTTTCGCCCCGATCGTACCCGATGCCCATCAGCGGCTTCGATATATAGATGGGTTCGGTCCGCTTTTCGATTACTCGGTTGCATTGTTGTACACATACCTAACCACAGTTTGCATGCACTGCATTAGTCAGTTATTCGGTTTCCGTCGCTTCAGTTTACTTCAGGTGATCACCATTTCATCGGTTTGGGGATTCTTTCATTGGGGTTTCTACTAGCCTGCTCGCAGTTAACTGCCCGCTATCAGGCGTACTTTTCATTACTTCAGTTACTTCACGTGCACTCCACTACTTTGTTACTCAATTTTGAAGCTTACGGCAACGTTTGACCAAATAAGTCAACCGTTAGTCATTGCACCACCACACGGAAATCTTTCATAATCGGAGATTCCCAGGGGTCTTCTTAGCTTGTTGGTTTCGGTCCGTTTTTCGATTACTCGGTTAAGTTATTCTTCACATAGGCTACCACCGACTTCCTCCTCTTGCATTGGATTGGTCAGTTATTCGGTTTCTTAGCACATGTCATACCTCGCTTCGGCTTACTTCACGTCACCGTCGCTGCATTTGGTAAACGTATTCCTTAGTTATACGGAGACCAGAAATCCGGTTTCCGCGTGGCTATACCGGGTTAATCGTCCGCCACTACGTGTTCTTCTCATTGACATACCTAAAAATCGGTTACTCCAAGTGCTTTCTATTTCAGTTAAGTTCAGTTTACATGAGGGGAAGTAGGTGTGTACCTTATAAATCCCTATTTGTTACACACAGAGGAAGTATGTTGAGAAAGTGGAAAGGGAGTAACATGAAAGATATAAAAGGAGAATATCAAAAACTGTACAGGCGAACACAGTATTTCATGAGTTAACAGCATTTGTATGCACATGAATTCGATAGATATTTGAAGCGCACCTATGATACAGGAAATATAATAGGACTTGCAGTCCGCAACTATCTTGGTGAATGCGAGCAGTTCTGTGCGTCGTGGCTCAAAAAACAATAAATTGCATAAACAAGTGTTATTTAAATATTGGTAGTAGCATCATGATAGCATTACATTGTTA